TTTGAGGAAGGAGAGCCAGCAACCTGGGCTGATGATGAGGGACCATTCTGAGAGCTGCACTTAATTCCCAGCTCTTCCTGCCATTAGGGGATGTTGCGAGCTCTCCCTCTTCTCTTTTCCGGGGGAGAGGCGGGGCAATCTCTTTCACGCTGACACTTAAAGCATATGTCGGGGTTCTGTTATCAGCTTCACCACCAAGGATGTGATGACCTGGGGCGAGTGGTTTCCTCTCCTGCAATTAGGGATGTCAGCCCTGTGGTTAAAAAGTACCCTTGTGGCAGTGAGAGCAGTGTTGTAATGTAAACAGACGAAGACTGGGAGAGCTGTGTCCCCAGAGTAGCTGAGTGAGTGCACAGCCCTGGCCTCCTGCCCAGGGCAGTTGGTAGAAGGAAGTGAGAAAAGGTATATAAAATGCTTGAGCCACCGGTTATAATCAGCTATTACTTTTATCATCTGAATTTTTTTTATTCCTAACCTCAGTAGTGAGATCTCCAAAGTGTGCCCAGGCAGGTTGCTTCCACCACCTTGCAGGAAGCATGGGTCTGCCTTTTGGAAAGGGTCCCTCCACAAGGCAGTGTCTCTTCCAGCTGCTGAGCCGGAGAAATGAGTGGGATGTGGGCACTTGGTGTGTGGCCCCACCACACCAGGCCAACCGGGGACACTCAGGAGCAGTCCACAGGCGGCTGGGTGGGGCCCCAGCCCTGGGGAGGCCGCCTCCAAGTGTATACAGGCAGTCACGTGGAGCGGCACGCTGGGCTCACCCGTGGGGAGGGAAACCCGAGCATCATGGAAACTCCTCACAATACAATGTGGAAAAGCAATTTTAAGAATCGTTTGTATTTTAATTTTGAAGCCAAGGAAAACAGTTGGATTTGCTTTTCTTTGTTGGTCAGAGGAAGAAACTGAAGCTCATCGCTTTGATTGGAGCTGAGTTCTTCTCCGGGGCTGAAGCAGGCCGGAGTGCTAGGGGGTTGGTTATTTCTCTTGGGATGCAATTAGTTGAATAAATATCAGGAGAGCAAAAAATACACAAACTCATCTCTGCCCATTGAGAACTGCCAAGCTAGCAAATACCTAGGGGCCAGAGACTTGGAATCTCGAAGGAAAGTAAGTGACTCCAGGGCCTTGGGCAGCCCAAAGAGCATCACCGTGGTTGTCGGAAAGAACTGAGTTCCAGCCCAGCTCATCACTTGGCTTCCCTGTGTCCCTCGGCAAGTCTCCTGGGCCTAGTCTAGGTTTCAGAGTCTTTCTTAATGAAATGGGGAGGGCAACGACCTTTCGGAATTACCTGGGAGCCTGCCTGCCAGGTACCCTGCACAGTGCCCTCCCCTGCCCTTTATCCTAATAACCTAATCTGCTTCGAGTCACTCCCACTAAGCCCAGTCCCCGGGTGACGTAACAGAACCCGGAATCTTACAGCTTCAAGATCTGTCCCCCTACTAGCAATGCAACTATAAACCTGATGCCTTTTTGAGCTTCAGCCTCCTCAGTCTCCCACTCAATGAGATGATGTGTATCCAAAGGGCCTTGTGAACCCGAAAACCTGTAAGAGTAGAAGTGTTAGTTGTCAAGTCCGGTTGACTTTTGGATGCTGTTCAGTGTCGTCGAGCGACCCTGTGTACAACAGGACGAACACCGCCTGGCCCTGGGCCGCCCTCACCGCTGTCCGGCTCAAGCCCCTTGTGCAGTCACTGTGCCAATCCCCTTTGTGGAAGGCCTTCCTCTTTTGCTACTGCTCTACTTTACCAAGCATGGTGCCCTTCCCCAGGGACTGGTCTCTCCCGATTTTTAATGCAATACTCACAGGAGGCTCCTTAAAGACATCATGGTCTAGAAGGGCATTTGCACATCCCTTGTCTCCCCATCCTGTGCCTGGAACTGTGTGAGATACTAGGGGAACCAGGACAAGCAGGGCCCAGGCTAAGCAGTGGGCTGCTTCAGGGCCTGGGCACTGGGACCAGACAGATTGTCTGGGTCGGAGCCCAGCTCACGAGTGGATCAAGTACTCCGAGTCCTGCTCTACAAACTGGGGGAAAAGGGCATCTCTTCATAAGGGTAGTGTAAGAACTCAAGTGCTCAACACACTGCCTGTTGTATTAGCACTCCTAAGGTGAGTTCTTATTAGCACTGTTGTTGTCCTTGTCACCCTATCTCAACGATGTCGTTCCGATCTTTAGGTTCTGAAGGGCACCCATACCTAGTGTACAAGGCAGGTTTGATCACCTCCATGTCAAAAAAGAGGTTGAGTCCAAGTGCACAGAACTTTCCAGAAGCTGTGAGAGCCCATGCAGGAGATAGATGGGATCCAACTATAAACAGCGCGGCCTGCTTGCACCTTGAGGCCTGGGAGGGTTTGGAAAACAACTCTTACCTGGAGACAACTTGCCTCCCTGGGCCTCTCTGGCAGTCTCTCGGCCAAGGGGGGAGGCCAGGGCAGCACAGAGAGGTGTTTGTCACCTGGTACAGCAGGTGAGCAGTCTGCAAAAGGCAACAGCTGCAACAGGTCCACCCTAGCCAGGGGGGCTGCTTCTCCCCATTGTTCTCAGGCTGCACTGCCGCCAGCAGCCAGCACAGCAGCGCCCAGAGTGCCGTTGGAAACCAGGCAAACACTGACAAACTCAGGCTGGTTTCCAATGACGTCACTGCAGCCCCAGCTCCCAGCAGAACCCTAACCAAAGGCACGTGCATGCTTTTCCCTGTGTCGGCCACTAAGCCACCACTCTTGGGCTTTGTCGTTAAAGTGGAATACAGTCCAGCATGGTCTTGTCCAGGAGCACAGGGCCGGTTTTGTAACTGCTCGCTGGCTGGCACAAAGTGGAGCCAGGGCCCAGCCATTTACCTGGGAAACCCACAAAGTGCCCTGGGAAGGTAAAATCATCAGGTCCCGTGCCACGATTGTTAGGTTCCAGGATGGCACAGATAGTTGGCACCTGACTCCTAGCCTTCAAGATAGGGAGCTACTGAAGTGTCCTGAATGGAAGAGGGACCCGATCTGACAGCTATTGTGGCTGCTCCGGCTGCTGTGTTGAGAACATACTGGAGGGTGGGCCGGAGCTGGAGTGGGGATTCCAGTTCTGGCAAAAGGCAAACGTGGCTATGCAGAGTAGGCAGAGGGAGTGAGGGCAATCAGCAGGATTCTGGAAATATTTCCAGGATATTGCTATTCTAATTTGGTGGATAGCAAGAAAGAAAGGGAGTCAAGGATGACCCCAAGGCCTTTTAGTCTGGGCAACTTCAAGAGTGGAGCTCCCACTCACTAGCACAGGGAAAACTGTGGGCGAACAGGGTGGGATGGAGGTGTGGGGTAAACCAGGAGTGCATCTTTGGGGATAAGTTAAGTTTGAGATGTCGCAGAGGCAGTTAGACGTATGAGTCTGGAGTCCAGGGGAGTGATCTGGGTTGGAGAAATTGTGTGGGATATGCCCGTGCTTGAAAGCCAGACTGGAGGAGATCACCAAGGCAAAGGAGAGGTCATGCTGGGCACTGGGCCCCTGGGCATGAAGAGGACAGGCACGGGAGAATGCATGAAGGCGCAGCCAGTAAGGCCACAAGGAAGGGTGGTGTCCTGGAAAGAACCTTCAAGAAGGGAATGGCCCCTATGTCACACCCTGCTGAGAGGCAAGCACTCGTCAGAGGGGTCAAATGAAGACCCCTGGGTCTGGAGCATGGGACAAAGGCCCGATAGGAGGGGGAGCAGAGAAAGTGGGGGGAAGAGAGGGACTGCCGGCAGTGAGACAACAGGGGCGACCCCGACAAGTAGATCAGAGACAGGGAGCATCAGCAGCGGAGGCAGGATGGGAGGTCAGGGAAGATTTCGTTTAAGTGGAGAGAAATGACTGCACACTTGAAGGAAACACACAATCATGAGAGAGATGGGGAGGACTTCTGGCGCAATGACCTTGAGCAAGCTAGGGGGGACCCGGTGTACACCCATCCCCTCCTTCTTGGCCTAACTCCTACTCATCCCTCAAGGGTCAGTGTACAGGTCACTTTCTCAAGGAAGCTTTCTTGACCTCTCCGAGTAGGCCAGCTCCCAGGTCATACCATTTCATAGCATACAACACAGCTGCTTCACAGCACTTAGAAATTGTAATGATGTATAAGCTCTTTGAGGGTAGAAGCTGGGCCTGCTTTGTTTCCAGCAGTAGCTCCAGCAGCTAGCACACAGTAGATGTCCAATGCGCAGCCAGTGAAGGAATAAATGGTCCAAGAATAGAACTGAAACAAATCCCAAAGCACGTGTCTGTTTTTTGCTCCTGTCTGATTTCATCACGTTGCAGTGATCGGGACCATGCAGTTACCGGCTATTGCAAATATTTGGATTTAGAGGAGCTCAGTTGTTTGTTCCTGTTTGGGCTCTGTAGCTTGGCTAACACACAAACTACAGCCATGTGACCGGACACATCCTCCCACTGATAACGCCCACTACAAACCAAACACACTCTATACTGTCTAGCAGCTCACTCATTTAACAGAGATTTGCCAGAAGTCTGCTTAGACAACATCCCAGGGGTCAGACACAGCAGCTGGCCTCACACAGCTTCAAGTCCTGCATAAGAGCTATATATATATATAAATCTACGGCTGCTCACAACTGTGACAGGTGTTACAAAGTCCAGGGGGCTATGTAGAAGGGGGAGACCAGTCTAAGAAGTCCAAGGTAGGAGGAGAAAGGAAGCTGCCGCCCAGTGCGGTTCTCCGGCTGCAGGCTAGGAGCACAGCAAGAGGGCTGTGGGCACAGAGCTGGCTTCCGGAGCCACAGGGCTGTTGCCTTAGGTCTGCAGATATCTCATGTCCCTCCCTTTGACCATGTAATTCTGCTGGGGCCTCTGTCCCCTCCCATGGTTTCCAGAGGGCTTGCCCTCCTCTCTTGACTCCAGGAGAGTAGAGCTGGCCCTCCCAAAGATGCGTTTCTTAGGAAGTTTTACCTGGAGAGAGGGCTGAGGCCACTCACAGTGATTGGGCTATCACTGACTTTTCCATTCTGTTTCCTTTCATAGATTTTACTCACAAAGGAAATTCATTTTGCAAGGACCATGAGACGGCTGTATGTGGCGTGCTGGTGGCTGGGACTGCTGGCCGCTGTGGGAGCTGCTACGGGCCAGGAGAATGGTTTTGAGGGCTCAGAGGAGGGCACGCCAAAAGAGTTCATTTACCTGAACAGGTACAAGCGGGCTGGTGAGTCCCCGGACAAGTGCACCTACACCTTCATTGTGCCCCAGCAGCGGGTCACGGGTGCCATCTGCGTCAACTCCAAGGAGCCCGAGGTGCTGCTGGAGAACCGCGTGCACAAGCAGGAGCTGGAGCTGCTCAACAGCGAGCTGCTCAAACAGAAGCGGCAGATTGAGACGCTGCAGCAGCTGGTGGAGGTGGACGGCGGCATCGTGAGCGAGGTGAAGCTGCTGCGCAAGGAGAGCCGCAACATGAACTCCCGGGTCACGCAGCTCTACATGCAGCTCCTGCATGAGATCATCCGCAAGCGGGACAACGCGCTGGAGCTCTCCCAGCTGGAGAACCGAATCCTCAACCAGACTGCCGACATGCTGCAGCTGGCCAGCAAGTACAAGGACCTGGAGCACAAGTACCAGCACCTGGCCACGCTGGCCCACAACCAGTCGGAGATCATCGCACAGCTGGAGGAGCACTGCCAGCGGGTGCCCGCGGCCAGACCCGTCCCCCAGCCGCCCCCCGCCACACCCCCCCGGGTCTACCAGCCGCCGACCTACAACCGCATCATCAACCAAATCTCCACCAATGAGATCCAGAGTGACCAGAACTTGAAGGTGCTTCCGCCCACTCTGCCCACCATGCCCACCCTCACTAGCCTCCCGTCCTCCACAGACAAGCCGTCGGGTAAGTCCTTCTCGGATCCTTTTCCATCTGGGCCTCAGAGTCGCCAGAGTAAGTGGGGCCAGAGGGGGGCCGGCTTCTTTGGATGGGCGCTTGGAAGCAGCGCTAGGAAGGAAGAAGAATCTAAAAAGAGAACAAATGTTCTCAGCATGTGAGTAGAGTCCAAAGCCTTCCATTCTCTAGGCTCCACAGCTGATGGTCTGTGCTGGCTCATAGGAGGTCTTCCTGCAAGCCTGGGTCTGCCAGGCTCCAGGGCCAAGCCTGGCAGTGAGCAGGTATTCCCTAAAGACGCCAGCAAATAAACAGCAGGCCAACAAAGGAGACAGAGCTATCACTTTAGATGTGTGATAAACACAGTGCAGGGACCAGGGATGGGAGTACTTTCTAAAGTCCACAAACTTCCTAGAACCTGCTGCTATCTAAACTTCTCAAGGACAATTCAATAGCTCCTTCAGTATATGTTGCCTCTCAAATGTGGTAATTCCCAGAATGCCATTTGGGGGGAAGATGAGGGTTGCTGATGGAGAGGAAGAAGCTGCTGTAGGTTCTGAAGCTTGACCAGGAGACTGTGCTGGGTATTCGCATGCGTATGACACCATTAACCCCTGCAGCTCCAACTCATGGACAAGTTGCCTGAAGCTCTGAGAGGTTAAGTAGCTTTGCTTATGGGCTCAGGCTCCTCAAGCTAGGTTTCATTGACGCTGTTTCACTTGTGCTGGCTCCCCTGTGCTCTAGGGCTCTGAGCGTCCTCTCTCTTGCAGGGAGGCAGGCTCCCCTGAGTGAATGTCAGCATGCACCCATCCTCACGAAACGGAGCCTGTTTCCATCCAGGACCCGACTGGGCCTTCCAAATGGACCGTCACATAAGAACTAGAGTTGCCTGTGCAGAAACGAACCACTTATCTGCAGTCAGGGATTTGGGTGCCATGGGGTTGTCATAAACAGGAAGCATTTTTTCCCTGGGAAATATCCTGTTGTACTTGACCCCTTTGGAAATCGCCACCAGTACTGGGAAGCACGGCTTCTTGCTAATCCCAGAAAACACTGCACTTGAGGGCGGGAGGGTGGCCAATACAAAGGACAAGGGTGGCACTGTGGGCAGGTCTGGGGTCAGCGGGGGTGGGGAAGGCAGATACAAGAACTTCAGCACCTTGAACGAAAGGCCTTCACTGGAGGAGGGGGAGCTGCGGTGCGAATACGTGTTTTAGAGCCAACTAATCTAGGTTTAAACCAGGCAAGTCACTTTGTCCCTCTGAACATTTTGTCCCTCTGAACCTCATCTGTCGACTGAGGATTAAAATGGGGCCCACCTGAGGATTAGGTGAAATACTGTGAGCATATGTGCACACGTGTGTACACACACACACACACACACACACACATACACACGCAATGCATCGAGTACAGTGCTTGTCAACAATAAATTTCAATACATAGTAGCTATTCATCTCCTTTGGTCTTGATCTCTTTATCTTAAAACGAGGAAATTGAAATATAGAGTCTCTCTCTAGCTCTGATTCTCTGCTGCTGCTGCTGACTGCCCCATCTGAACATGCGTCTGTTTTAAATACAACAGTCCTGAAAGGGAGGGCAGGCTGTGCTGACGTGTCTTGGTAGAAGACCCAGAGGGTAAAACAGACCCTGGAGCAGCAAACGAGGGTTCAACTGCATGTCAGTTATCATCTGAACGTGAGGCAGGCTGGTCTCAATGGTTACTCACTGGGTCTTCTTTCTCCCAAGTATCTCTGGTTCCCGACTCAACAATTCCAGGACATTCCTGAGCCTGACCCCAACTGCTCAGCAGGCAGCGTACGACTGAATACCTGGGCTTGCATACAGGCGCCAACCCTTGTTAATTGTTAGCTCACGATAAAGTTACTTAATTCCTCTAAAGTCTCAATTTTCTCCTCTGTAAAATGGGGACTGACGTCCTTTACCATCACAGAATTGTCCTTGGGAACGCAATGCCATCAACTATGCCGCAGTATGCCATATGGTACAGCTACTCTGTGCCTATCAGTGCTAGATAAAGGGGGCAGGTGAAAAACTGGTCCCTGGCCTCCAGAAACTTCATCTGGTGGAGGTGGCGGATGCCTGGATGGATCTGGGAGCCATTCAGTGCCCATTCATGCTCTAGTGTGACAAAGGCTCTCTGGGAGGCCACATTTTTCAGAACATCATGAGAATTTATTTTAGGTTAAGAAGTACCTGAAATCAGGAATTTGGTGAAACTGGTCTGCGTGGTCATTGAGGCAATATCATAAGGTGCTGGGTGGCCTACGAGAGGTGTGTGGGAGTCTTTGGGGACACACTCGGGTGGCATGACGGAGTCTGTCTAGAGTAGAAGGGAAAGGTTGGCAGGGGGTAAGATTTTCTGCACCACATCTTTACAGATGTGTAAGAGCTCACCAGGTAAATTTGGACGTTTGGAAGCCAAGTTACTCGTGAGGGCCCCTGATGGAGCAGGAGGCCGTGTGCAAAGGCCCAGGAGCACTGGGCTGCTCCTGACATCTCGACTAGTTCTGGCCGCTGCATCTTCAGTGTGACAGGCTGCGGCACAGGCAAGGGAGCCTGTGCGCTGTGTGTGATTCCATGACTACTGTCCTCACCACACCCCTCTCTCCCCACTTAGGGAAGCACACTGGCACGGGAGAAACTTGGATGTGCTAGAATGGACTTCCCTCCCTCCCATCCTCTGCTCCTCCTTTTTTTCAGAACATCTAGGGAAGTGCTCACAAATGTTGGTACCTGATCATTGGTGACAGTCTCCTGGTCACCCATACTCGACTGATTACCTACACAAGGCTGAGCTGGCTTGGGCAACATTGGGTGGGCACCACCGGGAGAGTGGCTGGAGAGGGCCCTGCCTACTCCAACCAGAGTCCTCCGTCAGGCTCCAAGGGGCTGATGTGGGCATTACCAGATAGAACCAAGACAGCCAAACACCAAAGAGCCCTTATCAGGCCTGTTCTGAGCGCTTGCCAGGCTGGCGCTGGTCTTGGAAGACAAGGCCCTCTCTGTGCTCTCTCCCTCAACACAGTCTTTGTTCCGAGGCAGCACTCAGCCAGAAAACACCTTTGCAATTAAACATCTTTGCACCCAAGCCTTGGCGTCCCAAAAAATCTTTTGTTGGGCAACCTCAGAGCCATGGCTCTTTTCCCCATTGTCTGAGCTGCTCAGCCCACAGCACACCCTTTCCCGGGGGACTGAGAGAGCCATGGTGTGCTTATCTGAAAATGCACTCACTGGCGTGTTCCCAGCCAGAGGCAGGAACCGACTGGCTCCAGGCCAGGCTGAGAGCCTGAAGCCGACTTGGGTAGCAGCTCCGCTTCCCTGGCCTCTCACCTGTGTCTCTCCTTGCTTACTCACAGCTGGCCAGGCTAGTTCAAATGTTGCTCATGGGGAGGCTTGGGCCATGGGTTGCTACTGCCTCCCACCCACCCCACTCCCCGCCCCCTCCATCTTCTCTTCCTAGACACACACACAGCTGTCAATCAGGTCTGTAAAGAGGAAGTTTGTAGGGGTCATTCTCAAAGATGCAGAGGGAAAGGACAAGGCTGGTATCTGGGCTCTAACACTCTCCCATCACCATGGAGAGCCGCATGCATGTATACAAGCCCTCCTGGTGCAGTTGCATGCTACAGACCACCAGGGAAGAAAAGGCAACGCTAGCACCAGCTGACCCCAAACGGCTTGTCTGAAATGACTTCAGAGACCGAAAGGAGTATGTACTTCTGTAGTAGCTGTTTTCTGGTAGAAAGAACACAACCAGCTCAGTTGCTTCTCACTGTTAGCCCACAAATCTCTCTCACACACACATTACAACCTCTCAAATTGACCAAGTCACAACCAGTCCCTAAACTTGTAACTTCTAGGAGACAGAGGTTCAGAAAGGCTATGTAACTTCCCCGAGCTTACACAGCTGCTAAGTGACTCAGTCCAGACTGCCTTAACCACGTGTGGGGCTCCCCACCCTGGGAAGGGTAGAAGGGAGTGTGGGAAAATCACCCTCTGAGTACTTGACTCAGCCCCAAGTCCCTTCCTGGGACGCCGTTTCGTGGTACCAGGCTCCCACTAGCGCCTTGAAAAGAGTTCCAGGGACAGAGCTGGTGACATGTTGTTAGAACTCTCTGGGTTCCAACAGCAAAGGAGCAGCCACTGAGAACCTACCCACATCACGTCACCCACTGCCCTGGCCAGCTCTCAGACAGAAGGCCCACTGTGCACTTCACTTTCAGTTTTTATCAAATCTGAACACACTCTCTGGGCATGGCCAAGTCTCGAGTCCTGATTTCCTGAAACATGTTAGCTCTAGATACAGAAATACCTGTCGATTGGATCTGCTCTCAGGGCCACATTTGGCAGTAACTAGATTGCTTCACTAATAACCCAAAGCCTATGTAGAAACCACCCGGCCCTCTCACAGATGCATGTAGCCAGAAAGGTATTATTAATTTAGATAAGCATGTTTTCCTAGATAGACTTCCCACCTCGATATTTCATATCCCTCTATAAGGTAGGAAATATATACGTTAAATTGTGGTTCCCTAGCTTAATGGCACGTCTTAAAATAGAAAACGAATAATACCACACTGTGGTTTCCATTCTTTCTGGCAGTCAGCACTCTTCAATCCTGGTTCAAAGGGGTCCCATGTGCGTGCAGATCAGCTCAAGCAGACCGGGCTTCAAGCCCAAGCCTGTGCAGTGATGGAGAATTCGACTCAGCTCGCTCACTGCCATTGAGTTGATTGACTCATGGGGAGCCTACAGGACAGGGCAGAACTGCCCCCGTGGGTTTCCAAGACGATAGGCCTTGTTTTTCTCCAGCAGAGCAGCTGGTGGTTTTGAACTGCTAACCTTGCAGTTAGTAGCCCAACCATGTAGCCCACGGTGGCACTCTCACGATGGCGAGAATGACTTCAAGCCACCACTGCTTCCGCCTGAAGTCACTGAGGCTGAGGGAAGCCCCACACCCCCATTTCCTGCCCCCACAGCTTGTGCTG